CTTGTTTGTGGATCTCCTCAGTCTCTCCTTCAGTGTTTCCCATCGCTTATGTTGCCGGAGGTGTTGGACTCGTTCTTATTGGAATTGCTGGAATCTTTTTTTGGGTTAGGAGAAATAATGGTGAGCAGAACCCCTTTTTTCAACATTAAATACCAATTTGAAATTAAAGTTTTTTATTTTAGAGTTGGGTTATATTCAGAAATGTTTACTATTTGAGTTTATTAAAGCCTTTAGCTTGACATTGTTTATCCTTCAACTAAAAATTGCATCTCATGAATATTTCCAGAATGTTATTCTCGAAATGGTGACTGAGATTTTAATAGATTAAGCTTAAAGTTTTTATAATTTGTCTTAACAGATGAGGATTAACATGGAAATGAAGGAAACTGAATTGAAGAATAGTTTATACAATGATATTATCTTAAAAGATTTGAAGTATTGGCACATTAAATAAAACTAACTACAGCTGTTTTGTCATCAAGGCCAGATTCTCAAGACAACTCCCACAAAAGAAAGATTGTTTGGAAGCTTGAAACGTTATAGTTGGAAAGTTTTGGTCTATTGAAGGATTTTGTTTTAAGGAGCTACTGGCTCCAGCTGCACTATGTGGTTTTATTGTTATATAGGAAGGAGCCTGATAACGTTGGTCATTTACTGATCATCTGTAAGCGGAAAGTACCTCAGAAAGCTGTTTAGAATCAGCAGGTTAACTAAAGTTGGAGCTGATTGATTGGAAAACAGTTGCCAATCGCCTCTATAAGTCTTTTCTAAGTTATTTACTCGTAAACAAGTTATTTGATATTTCTTTAATAGAAAAAATCAATCTTTATTTTTGTTCACCAGACGAATGTTACATGTGGGACACAGAAAAGCTGGAGCATGAGGTGCAGGCTATAATAAGATAAAAATAACATTTCATAACAATGACATGACAGGGTAACAACAACCATTCGCTTGTTGAAAATACTAGGATCTCTAAAATGTATTTAAACTTAATATTAATATCTCTGCAAAACAAAACTTGCCTTTTTTTTTTTTAGCAACAAATGTGACCAGGATGAGACAACAGCATGAGAAGCCAACAACGACAAGGAACCAGCCAAGAGTGACAGCAGAGGGAGAGCATTTATGTCCGACTGAAACAAAGGCTGGGCTAACGGGCTGATAAGGAGCAGGTGTGAGTGGAGACAACGAGGAAGCCGAGGGGAAAGGACCACCCACAAGAGGGCAACAGAGAACAACAAAGAAAAACCTGAGCACTAAAATAAATCTAGAAAATTCTACAAAATAGAAAACATGGAGCAAACTAATCTACTTGATGACTTAGACTTAGACTTCTTTATTTGTCATTTGATCTAATAAACTTGATCTTCATTAATGCCAAGTCAAATAAAATTGAAAGGGACTCTTAGTGTTGCACTTTACTGATCTTTTTTACACAAATGCCCTTTTGCACCGTTAATTAAACTGTTTTCTTTTTTCTCCTACATTGTTAAATTCTGATCACTGCCGAACTTTGTCTTGGTAATGTTTATCTTACCGAAACTGCAATCTCATTACACTGTTGTAAACTGTGTGCAACAGAATTTTGTTTTGTATACACACTGTGCATACAAAATGACAATAAAATTTTCTAAATCTAAATTATGATTTTTGTGGCCCTCAACCGCATTTCAAGTGTGGAATATATTGGTATGTCAACTTAATCTGAAAGTAAATCACAACAGGCATAAATTGGAAAGCAACTGGACTTTCTCTCAGTTCTTTTGAAGACCTTTGGAAACCTTAACCAGCAGTCTTTGTCTATTCTGTTTGCTCGCTCAAGAGCACATACAGGCATGCCTAAAGAAAATGTTAGTGTGACTTTTACTGATGAAAAGGTGAAGCCCTTGTGAGTCATCACTGGTTATATTGTTTCATCTCAGTGAAGATGAAACGTGGAATATCGGCCTGCACTCTAAAAGAGTCAGGGAAATTTGTCTTGTAAGGTATGACTTCACACATGCTATGTGCACCTTTGACCAGAGGGTGGCACTGTGGGATGGTGGTACAGGTCAGTGATCGTGGTCGAGTGTGAGTGGCTCAGTCCTCCTCTCATAATGCCAGATGGCCTGCAAGTCACCTGCCAGATCTTTAGTGTCTCATTGTGTTCTCTGGACTTTCAGGTCAAGGCTTGTTCTTCACTGTTAAACTGGAGCCTTCTGTATTTACAGCACAAGAATTTAAAAAACAAATCCACATAAAAATATTCTGTCAAAAGGAAAAGTAAGGCACCACATGAGGAAATAGTTAATCAGTCAGATTTTCTTATTTTCCATCTTTTTCATCCAGTCTTTCATATTCTTCTGCTTATCCATCAGGGTCACCTAGCTGGTGCCTATCTCCAGTAATCTATTGGTTAAGAGTGCTGTGCAACCCGAACAGTTTCCCAGTTTTTTACAGGACTGTTGTCTTTCTTCTTTTAGTTTTATTTTACAGTAAATTGGACCAAAAGCATTTTGTAATTTTCCCCTAAAACAAGACTCAAGAGTCCCATCCATCCATCTTCTTAGGATTAAAATCATTCTGGGGCCCCTGGCTAAGTTTTGGCAGGGGGCCCTCCTCTAAGTCTGCCAAGTATTCCAGTCCGTCCAGAGTAGAACTCTCTAGAGCTGCTACAATGTTTGTATTAGGCAAGGCAAGTTTATTTGTATAGCACAATTCAGTACATGGACAATTCAAAATTCTTTACATGAATTATATATATTATAAAAGAAAAATAAAAGCAGAATGAAACCAAATAAAGATTAAAATAACTTTTGTAAAACAAATATAACATAACCTTAATGTAATGATATCTCAGTTAGCAAAGCAACCCTTTGTCCCCCACTAATTCTTTGTTAGACCTACAGTATATTAATCTCAGTGCCCCCCCCCAAAACATCTTCTAAAAAACTTCACGTCCAGTTGCCTGGTCTACTTTTGCCAGCTTGACCATGAACTGGATGACTGGGAATCTTCACAGATCATTTGGATGGCGAAAACCTTACACTGACCACAATAAAATCAAAGAAATTAAAGTGTACAATAGGATTTTATGAATTATATGATTACCTCATCACTATTTATATTATTTTGATTATTTTAGATATACCAACTTGCTGGATTGCTGTGTTCCCATGGTAATAGAATAAAACATTTCTGAAGTAGAAGCTTTTGAGAAGCAGAAAAAGAAAGAGAAACATTAGTTGTTTTGGTTACACCATAATATAACTGCTCCAAATGTAATTGTGTTAATTGTAGATGGCAATACTTCAAGTCTTTAGCTGATTTTAATTGTGTGTATATTTAAATCATTGTTGTGTTTCTAGTGTTCTTTTTTTGCAACAATATCCAAAAATATAAAACTTGCATATATAAAGTATCTGATGAATGTTAGTCATTTAATGACAAGCTGATTTACTCCTATAGCTGCCATGAACCAAAAAAACTGTGCATGCAAAAAATATCAATGTTTTGCCATCTTAATATGTTTTTTAGTAAATTTGCAAACATGTAAATTTGCAAACGTAAATTTGCAAACATGTAAATTTGCAAATCAGACATTAAAGCACGGCATGGATACCATGCTGTCTAAAGATGCTCAAAGCTGATTTAACAGTTAACAAAACAAAAACAAAAACAAAAAACAGTAACTTAGGAAATAACATTTTTTAAGGGAACCAAGTGTTCCAAATACCAAGTGTTATATTACTTCCCAGGCAACCAGTTTTCAGGCTATTGAACAAAATGCACTGATAACCTGCTTAATTACTTTATATATATATATATATATATATATATATATAACAACAATAGTAGAACATTTCATATTACCGGTAACTAAAAATATTAGGTGATTTTTACATTTGATAAAAACCTTTCACAAGAAATGTCAGAAAATTTTTATCTCTCTTCTATTATATATTAATTTATC